CCCCCCCCCCCCCCCCCCAAATAAAAAAAAATCTAGATTAATAAAAAAACCCTATAAATTCCCCTCAAAAAACTTGTTCTCATACATTTCTCACTATCTTCTCTTTACAATTCTATCAATCTTTCAAATATTTGATTATTTATTATAAATATTTATAAAATATATTTTAAAAATGGGATCATCTTCATCCGACGATGAAAAAAGAGCTCTCATTTTTTGTTGTTTCGCCACGAGTTGTGTTCAATGGTGGGAACAAGGCAAAGAAGAAGAAGCCGAATCCTCCCGACGACGGACCCGACGACAATGTTTAAATCGGGATCGAGCGGCCGCCCACGCTTCACTTCTAAACAACTACTTTAATACTCCGTGTGTTTATACACTGGAGGATTTTAGTAATCGTTTTCGGATGAGTCGTCCTCTCTTTTTACGCATACTCGCCGATGTTGAACGCGAGGTGCCTTGGTTCAAATGACTTGTGGATTTGACATGCTTTCTTCGGTGTCGCGGGCTCGAACAACGACATCAACGTTCTCGATCAATCGCCTGTTTTTGACGATTGCATTAATGAGACCGCACCCGACTCGTCTTTTGAGCTTAGAGGGACACTTTACAAGCGTGGATATTATTTGACCGATGGAATATATCCAGATTATTCCACGATTGTCAAATCTCTCTCGGAACCAATGGTTCTTAAATGCCAGACCTACAAAAAAGCTCAAGAGGCGACGAGAAAGGATATTGAACGAGCCTTTGGGGTCTTGAAGGGTAAATGGCACATTCTAGATCGACCGTCGAAATATTTTTCTCAAAAGAAAATGAGGAATATCATTTACGCATGTATTATTCTTCATAATATGATCATAGAGGGTAACGTGATTGCGATTTGTCAATACAACCCAGACGAGGAGGTGCCTATGTACAAAAAAATCGACGAAGAAAAGAAACGAAGAAATCACCAAGAAATTCGAAACTGAGAGATTCACAATGCACTAACGGCGGATTTGATCGAACATATCTTCAGTCGCTCCAATAAGTAGTAATTTCTGTGTAGTGTTGTTTTTTTGGATGTAATATTTTTTTAATGAATGCAATTTTTTATGTATTTTTTTATGAATGTAATATTTTTTAATGAGTGTAATTTTTTTAATGCACTAGTCTCATTGCGATTAATTTAAATAATAAATTAATTAAAATTTATTAATTTAAATTTAGAAGATGTATATTTAAAAATGTAAAAAATGAAAGTTTGAAGCTTTTGTTTGAAGCCCTGGGGCTTCAAACTCATTTCCACTAAATCTTTGAAGTAAGTTAAAGCTGACGTGGCGTAGAGAAAAATTTTGAAGCCCCGGTTTGAAGCCCCAGGGCTTCAAGAGTATTTCTAGTGCTCTAAGAGCAGTTTTAATTAGGGTAAATGGTAAGAGGTGGAGGGGGAGGGTGGTAATCACTAGGAGTGGGCACGGGCCGGTCCGAGCCAAGATTTGTAGAAACCGGACTCGGCCTGTTTTTATTAAAACGGTCCGGGCCAAAACAGGTTTTCAAAATTTTAAAATTGAAACCAAACCTAACCCGACTTGGTTGAAATGGGCCGATTCCACGGGTCAACGAGTCTGAACCTATCATGATACTAATATTTAAAAAAATAAAGAGATAACAAATTAATTTAAGTCATCCAACACAAAAAGAGACGTAAATGAAAATAAAACAATGACAAAGAGGGCCATGAGAGTAAAGTAACGAAATGGAATACCACACGTTGACGTGACACGTTTCAACCAATAAAAGCAAATTCAATCAGCGTGTGGCAAGTGAGTGGAGTGGCATCTCGTGCACTGGCAAGTTATTGTTTTTGTCAATTTTTATGATTTTTTACTGCATTTTAATTCTTAAAAATTAATTCATTTATATTTTTTAAATAGATGTACTCTTTTTTAAAAAAAAATTATTTCTTCTACAAAAAAAAACTAGAAGATGTCTCACACCACACACGCTTGGCGTGGAGGAAGGCTGAAGCCTCGCGAGGAATTGCTGATGTGGCGCAGCGAGGCGAGGAAATGCCTCGCCGCTGCGCATGCTCTAATCATTGGATATAAATTGTATCAGATAGAGTGATGAAAAAATATATAGTATGCTAGAATTGATTAGGGATGATAAGTGTAGAGATAATCATATAGATTAAATTTTGATTGATTAGATTTTTGTTTTAAAAAAAAAAATCTCCCCACCCCCCTTTAACCCGGTGACCTTGGTTACACCCAGGGGGTCGCGCCCTCTGGCGCGATGTCACACTCGGTTATCTCGCAAGCTCAGCCTCACGCCTTTTGCTCACCTTGTTAGACAAACATGCAACTCTAGAGGAGGTGAATAAAGTTGTTTTCTAGAATGAGCGTTTTTTGCATGTGTGATAAACGAAACGAAAAATTGCAAGAAATATGTAAAGAGTAAAGGGAAAGAAGAACATCGCAATGTATACTGGTTCACCACCTCGTGGCTAGTCTAGTCCTCCGAGAGATTCTCTCAAAGGTCCTACTATACTTCAAGCTTCAACGAGTGCTTGAAAAACCGATTACAACCTTAGAACTTGAATCCCGCAAGCCTCAACTTCTTACAAACAAGACTTGAATCATAAAAGTCTTAGAATTCACAAACTCAAAGAAAATTGAGTTTAACAACACAAGAATGAAAAGCTCACACAATTGAACAAGTATTGTTTAAATGTATAGCTCTACTAGATGACAATATCTTTTGCACTCAACAAAAATATTTCTAACTCTCAAAATAATATTTTGATGAAAAAGATTAAAGCAAGAGTTGAATATAAGAGAAGGATTGAGTTAAGTGTTAGAACTGTGAATAAAATGAAGGAGGAAGAGGGATTTTATAGGGTTGACGAAAATAAATTTGTTTGAGGTGGAGATAAAATATTTTTGATAGAATTTACCACAGGTGATTGATCCAAGGCATATAATCGATAACCAAGAGTTACAAAATTTGGTAAATATTTCGATAAAACCGTCGGGTGATCGATATAACCCCTTAGATCGATCCACCAAAGAAAATGTTGGGAAAAGTGTGATCAATCCAAGAGGGTGGATCGATCCACTGTCAAAAAGCTCTGCACACCATGATCTATGGATCGATCCTCTGACGAATTATATCCAAACATGAAGGCCCCAAGATATGTGTGCGAGTTGGAAATGGAATTTGGATGTATTATTTTGTTTTACATAAGGAAATCAGGGGAAGAGGCTCCTAATCCAATCAAGATAATTAGATTTGAATTTTGAATGATGAAGGTAAATTTTTGGTGTAGAAATGAGTCCCAAAAAATATTTTATGTGTCAAATGATGTACACAAAAAATATTAAAGTATATTTTTTCTTAACCACAAAAAATTGTATATCTTAAAAAGATATTTTAAGAATTATTGGCACACCCTTTTTGTAACTGACTCAATAAAATATTTTTAGACAGAGAAAAATTTATTTTTCAACTGACTCAAAAAATAATACTACCTCCGTCCCACTCTCTTTGTCTACTTTTGACTTTTGGAACTGTTCATCTAAGCACTTTGACTCATCAAATTCTCTCAATGTGTAAGCCTAAATATAGTCATGTGTGATCTTGTTTGATTTGTCTTAACATATAGATTATTAATATATAATTTCTATAATTTTTTAATATACAAATTACAAAATAAAATGGATTAAAGAAGTGCATTGGATGGTGTGCCCAAAGGTAAGAGGACAAAGAGAGTGGGACGGAGGGAGTAATTTATCCCTCAAAAATTAATTTGTTTAAGTGAAAAATAGTTGTCATCGTTACAAATGTTCCTACGACTCAATAAAAAGTCTTCAGAATCTTCACTTCACTTTTAAAAGCTCGCGTAGGGATTGGAATGATGAAATTTATCGTTGTAAAAATCTTGATACGCCTCTTTGCTTTCTTGTATCGAAAATAAATTTTCGTTCATCGTTGTATTTGTCATTTATCAAAACCTGAAAAATAATATTAAAGAATATCTAAAAGGGGTTAGAACTCATGTGTAACGCCCCAACACATACCCTAGAATTATCAATGAATAATTATTCAATTAATCAAATTTGTTTTGGTTAAAATAAATTATTGTTGGGCTTTGGGTCGATACGAAATGTGTTTTGAAATCCAATATCAAAATCTGGATAAGTCTCATAGAGATAAATCCAATATGTGGACTATTTGTGTGGTCTTGATTGGGAACCTAAGTACATACCCAAATCAAGAATAAATGAATAAATTAATTATGATGTGAAGTTTGTAATGATTTATTGAAATAAATCATGAAAATAATTTATATGAATTAAATAAAAGAACCTTTTATGAGAGAGGTCAATTAAACCAATTTTGATTCTGTCAAAGTCAAACACTAAAAAAAAATATGATGTCAGAAAAAGTATTACAAATAATTATGAAAATTATATCGTTGGATAGAGTTTAACTGCACGATTGCAACGGACAACGGTGCAAACGGATTTCAATTTGGAGAAAGTTGAACCAAAAAGTGTACCCCGACTGAAACCAAAATTGGTCCCAATCAGGGAGACTGTGCAGACGGCGCCCCCTCCTCCACTCAGCCGATCATGAGTCATTTCCTACGCAGAACTAGCTATAGGATTCTCTTTTTCCTTCTCCATTTTCCTATATAAGGAGGAAAAACCAGCTTCGATTTCTGCACCAAAACTTAGTAAGTTTAGTATCATTGTGTTCCTTGTTTAGTGGAGAGTTCATTGTTGTTGTCAATTTGGTGAGAGGTCGCCAGAGCTGAGAGTAATCGTCGCCAGAAGTTTCGCCGGAAAATTCTCAAAACCTTCAATAAGCTTCGAGGTAAGCCCGTAGATATATCATCACTGATCTTACAAGTATATCTAGCAAAGATGCAAGTATTTGCCAGCAAACCAACTCAAAACACAAACTGTACAAACTTCTTGGTTCTTAGTATTTGGTACTTTAACAACAATTTTAATGCTTAATTACTGAGATTTTACTAGACACTTGTAACCTCTTGTAAAAAATATAATTAAATTGAAGTTTGGTGATTAAAATATGATAATGTTAAAACTGACCCGAGGAAGAAGATGATGAACAGTGGCCGAAAATCGATTATTTACTTACTAAAAATCGTTTAGAATTTTATTCAGATCAGTGGTTCGAAGTCAGTACCATTTAATCGATTATTTAAATTGTAAAAATCGATTATTATGAATTAATTGATTATTTAAATTGTAAAAATCGATTATTATGAATTAATGGATTATATAAAATTATATAAATCAATTTTTATAAATTAATTGATTATTTTAAATTATTTTCCTCAATTCCAGATCCTGCTACGAAAATGTTCCTGAAAATATGCTCTAAAATCCTATTTTTGATAACAATTAATTATGAACAATACAAATATGATTTTGTATAATAAAAATGATGTTTTAGGCATATAGAACATTATGTGATGCATGACGGTAAGTTAGAGTGTTAACACTCAAAACTAGACCGCTATTTGTTATCAATTGTTATGTTGATTAATGATTATGATGAATCATTATTATGGATGATCATGAATGATGAACTAACTAATCAAAATGATTATTGATGATTAAGCCATGAGTATAATGAATATATTGATAATTATTAAACGATTTGTATTGTTAAGGATATCTAGAAGACTTTAAGATATACCTATTAGCTAATTGATGTTAAAACTATCTAGAAAACCTCTAGAATAGATCTTAGAATGAACTTATGAAAACATGAATAGTTGATGGATTAGATAAAAATGCATAAACGGGATTTGTAGTCCAAACTAGTGATCACTCATTTGGGAATGCTCGATCCAATGTTGATCATTTGCTATATTGTTGTTGCCTTAACTGACTACAGTTAAGTGTCCGAATCATTGCCTTAAACTAGTGATAGTTTAAGTGTCTGATTGCCTTAACTGACTAGAGTTAAGTGTCCGAAATCAATTGCCTTAAACTAATGATAGTTTAAGTGTCTGATTAATAATTGCCTTAAAAGAATCTGGTTATGGAAATTATGATTTGGCCTTAGACTAAGAATAGCTAAGAGCATTATTATGATCTGGCCTTAGACTAAGAATAGCTAAGAGCATTGTTATAATCTTGCCTTAGATTAAGAATAATTTAAGAGCACTATTGAAATAGTATCTGAATTGAATAAAATGTGTTGATATGAACTGAACAATACCAAAACTGTGAATGTCTGAAATGAACATTGTTTGCATGATATCAAATGATTTGATTATGAATTTAGATTCAGTTTATATGGATGTTCGACGCATTAGATATGCTTACTCAGCTTTACCGCTGAGCGTGTAGTGTGTTTTATTTGCTACACGCAGGTAAGCAGAAAGCACAATGTGATCCTTGCGGCAGATGGGGCGAGATTGTCGGGATGGATGTGACAAGTTTTGAAACAATTTATGATATGTCAATATTAAAATCACTTCTGCAATATTGTTGAATACTCCGTACTGTATATGTTATGAAAAATATTATTGGGATTAATAAAGTGTATTTGAAAAGTTTTAAATTTTTACGATTACCAAGTTAAATACTTTAGTCCGAATGGGGATGCAGACCTGGACGGATTAGGGTGTTACATCATGTATGTCCAACATATTCCCATTTTTGATAATGACAAACCATAGTTGAGAATAACAAAGAGTTTGAGTTCAAGAAATACTTTCCTTTAAATGATTCTCCCTACATGGTTAGAAGGGAGCAAACGAATACAAAGTAAAAAGCGGAAGTAATTTTGGAAAAGTTTCAAAAATATTTTTCTCAACTACTTTTCCTTCTATCTTTTGGCATTATCAAACGATACCTTCCCCCTTAGACGATGCCCGGGTATTGAAGCATAGCCCAAAAGCATTTTTCTTAAAATAAATTTGGAAAAATTTACAAGAGTTTCCTTTAAAAAGGAACTAATTGTTATTTTATAATCAAAGGGACAATATGTTCCAAAAAAAGAACAAGATATCCAAACCAATAAACACTAAACAATTGCATGAGTATCATCAATGACATAATAATACTAATAGAAGATTAAAAACAATCATAATCCACAAGCACTATTCATAGTCATCATACATAAGCGTCAATCATAATCCATAAATGCATAATCCATAAGCTACCCAAAATATGAGCACAAGAAAGAAGAACATCAAACGGTGTAAGCCGGTTGAGGCCCTCCGCAATAGCTATGGCGCGGTCAAAAGAAGGGTCGTCGCTCAATCTCGGCAATGCGCTGCTCAAGGCGCGAGAGGCAATGTCCCAGCATCGTCACCTCAACACGGGTGCAATTCACCGCATCTAATATCATTTGAAGGATACAACGATGAGATGAGGAAGAGTGAGAGGCACGAGAGTGAGATGACGGCTGACTTGACACCTCGTAAGGCACTAACAGATTATCTCCTTGGTTGCCTACTGGGCTGGTTCCCCTTTTGGTTCTTCTTCATCGGCACTAACTTTGTCACCACCTTTTTCTTGATCAGGGACGGTTCTGGAACGTTGGAACCGTTGAATCTGGCTACATCAATGTTCCATGTGTGATCCATCATGATTTGAACATCCTTCGTGATGTCCACCGAAAACTTGTGCATGATGGCCATGATCGGGATCACGTACCCAAGAGAACCTTTGGTTTTCATGGAAAGGAGATGGTTGCAAAAGAATTTATCACATTAGATTTTGATATTCTTGACAAAAATATAGAGAAGTTGAATATCGGAAAAAGTACTTTTGGGTGACTCTATTTGCGAGGTGCAAGTACTTTCGAGATGAAATAATGAAGGATACGAAAGTGAGGCTTAATGCCTCCAACGGTGATATGTTCAAGTTGACGAACATTTTCGTTACCAATGATGGTAACGGTGTCGTAGGGAGAAAAATTTCGAAATTCTCTGGACGTGGTCTTACTAAAATCACACCCATTAGAAGGTAGATGAATAAATTCAATAAGAGCCTTTAGGTTCATCTCAATAATATCTACTCCATTAGCGGAGGATTCGAGTATTTTACCGTTCAAAGAAAGGTTTGCATAAAATAGCCGAACAAGATTTGGACAAGATAGTTGAAATTTTCGATGCAAATAATCTGCCAGACCAAGTTGGGCAACAAAGGTCTTGGCTTGAGAAAAGGGCTGATGACAGAATACAATGTGTTCAACAGATTTAGGAATCAAAATTGGGCGAATCAAGTAATCATTGAAAAACAATCGTTGGGAGTCACCTTCGGGAAAAATAAACGAGGAGACATGCCGTTCTTCTTGGTTATTACTAGATTTCCCGATCATGTCCCTTGTACGAAGACGTTTGGTGCTTCTTCTTCCCGCCATGACGTAGGTGCAAGAAAGCTAGAGAAACACGATTGTAATCACTAATTTATAATTTAGATTGTAAATATGAATGATTAAACAACAATTTTACAAGAGATTTAAAGAAAAGTGATGAAAATTGAAGAAAAACATACCTAGAATTTCGAGTTCATCTTTCGCAGCACAGAGGCAAAAATTGTGAGAGAAGAGAGTGGATGTAACACCCTAACTTGAACAGTGTCGTGGACTATTCCAAATTAGAGAGTTAAGAGGAAATATACTAATTTCTTATAAAAACATCATATAAATGTTTATTAAAAACAGCGGAAACGAGTTTAATACACAATTTGTTTGTAAACATAACGTCATAAAATAAAATACAAACTTTTTATTCAAGCAAATAAATAAACACATAACCGTATTTATCAAAACGGATTTAATTGTCATGTCCTGCACTTCCACTTGTTCCAGCTACATCACCTACGCACAGTAAAAACCAAAAATACTGTACGCTCAGCATATTTGCTGAGTGGTACAAAACAATATAGGACGGAGTCTCGTAAAAATATAATTTTTACAAACATCAATATCTCACTTTCACAGAATGAATTTCCATATATGAAACTACATAGATATAAGTTAGATAAAAACTTTATAAAAGATTTTATCAATCCACTGAGATACGAAATATTCAATTTAACGACATACACCCGGGGTCTCCGAATGTAGCCCTGAGAAATAATGCCTTTTGGGCATCATTCTTGCAACCTTGGCCGATGGTTCTGTATACGTATACGATGAGCGGTGATAGGGGTCTCCTACCGTTGCTCCGAAATACAAGTTTACAATGATCTCAAGTTGTTTAAAATTATGATAATATAAAAGTTTAAATATTATTTCCTATATATCAAATCATTTTTATAAATCAATATTTTATAATAAATCACTTTTAAAAGTGTATAAAATATTAATTTGAAAGTAAAATACTACTTTGTATACTTTTTTTAAATAACCTTGAATCATACAAAGAGTGTTTTGTTTTAAAAGATTTTTACAAATATAATAGTTGAACGGGAAGTCCGTGCAATACGATTTTGTACATACCTCGAGTTCGAGAGAGAAAGTGAAACGGACTTCTTGAAGACTAGTAAGGAACCGAGACTTTAGAGGTGTTATGGAGCTTTACCGAAGAACAAAAAAAATAGCAAAAAGTGTCTTAATAACTTGAAGAACACAAAAAAAATGCAGGATTTTCGGGAGAGTTTTCTTACCTTAAACGGGCTCTAAACGAACTCTTGTTGGCTCTAACTTCTTCTAGTCTTTTGGGAAAGGTTTGGTAGTGTATTGGGAGTAAAATAACTTAATATTTTTATGGATATATAGAGTATAAAGAAGAGAAAAGTTGCTGCAATTTTAAGGAGAGAGAATGGAGAAAATGAATGAGTTTGGGTGGTATTTATAGGTAAAAACTTGGAGAAACAACCAATAAAGATTACCTCAACTTGATCATGATAATTTAGATTATTTTTGGAGGATTCTAACATCATAAAATCAGGATCATATCAAAAAAAAATCAAGAGAAGTGTAAAACTCTTCAAATATGTCATCAATATCCATTAAAAATATTTTAGAATATTTGATGATGTTTGGGTTGATATGGAGTAATTTAATGTGTTTAAGTAACTAAAAAGACTCCAAAATAGCTTAGAAATTGATTCTCAAAAAGTCCCAAAAAAATATTGATTAGGATGTTTGGAAAAAAATCAAGAGAAGTGTAAAACTCTTCAAATATGTCATCAATATCCATTAAAAATATTTTAGAATATTTGATGATGTTTGGGTTGATATGGAGTAATTTAATGTGTTTAAGTAACTAAAAAGACTCCAAAATAGCTTAGAAATTGATTCTCAAAAAGTCCCAAAAAAATATTGATTAGGATGTTTGGAAATAAATCTGCAATTTTTTTGCGCATGGTTGCTGACTTGCTGTTTTTTTTAAACTGTGTTTCTTGTCTAAGGAGAAAAAAAAATATTCCATACTTGGCCTGAGGTAAGAATCGAACACGGGTGAAGTATTAAACAGCCTCCTCCTGTTTCCGCTTCTACCACTTGAATTCTATTAACATATATGGGTTTTTGTTTTACCAATATCATAAATACGGGGTTGTCCAAATAACCACTTTACCCAATTTTTAATCAAATTGGATTCTACATCAATTAGTACTTTTAAAAATTTGTTCTAACAATATAATTTCTTCTAATAATTTTAAACTAATGGTTTAAAAAAAATTATTTCTAAATTATAAAATTGAATCATTAAAGTTTACTAATCATATAATGAATTTTTTTAGGCCCTATTTTGGGATGTTACAATTCTTCCCCCCTTAAAGAAATTTCGTCCTCGAAATTTACCTGTCATAGGATCAAACAAATGTGGGTACTGTTGTCGCATTGATTCTTCCGTCTCCCAAGTTGCTTCTTCCGTGGTATGATTCCTCCAAAGAACCTTGACAAGTGGTACTTTCTTGCTTCTCAGTTGTCGGGTTTCTCGGTCAAGGATTTGAACTGGTTCTTCTTCATAAGTTAAGTTTTCATCCAAGGTTACCATTCCAGGTTGTAGTATATGTGTGGGATCTGCTTGGTACCTTCTTAACATTGATACATGGAAAACGTCATGTATCTTGTTAAGCTCGTTTGGTAATGCGAGACGATAGGCCACTGGTCCTATACGTTCAATGACTTCGTACGGACCAATGTATCTTGGGCTTAATTTTCCTTTCTTCCCAAATCGTAGGACATGTTTCCAGGGTGATACTTTGAGAAAAATTTTTCGCCGATTTTGTACTCCATGTCTTTGCGTTTGAGATCAGCATAGGATTTTTGACGATCAAATGCAGCTTTGAGTTTGTCTTGAATGGTCTTTACCTTCTCTTCAATGTCTCGAACTATTTCAGGTCCAATCAATTTACGCTCACTTAATTCTGTCCAGCATACAGGAGTTCTGCACCTCCGTCCATATAGTGCTTCGTATGGTGCCATTTGAATGCTCGATTGATAACTGTTATTGTATGCAAACTCCATTAGAGGTAAATATTTTTCCCAGTTTCCTCCAAAGTCGATGACACAAGACCTCATCATGTCTTCAAGAATCTGTATTACTCGCTCTGATTGTCCATCTGTCTGAGGATGGAACGCCGTACTGAGGTGTAGCTTAGTTCCTAAAGCCTTTTGAAATGCTTGCCAAAATTGGGATGTGAACCTTGTGTTGTATTTAGGTGCCCTAGCGGCAATCAAATGCCTATGTAACTGTACACTTTATCATGAATGAAAGGCCTTGAAGTATGTTTTATATCTCGTGTAACATAACATAGCTTCAGTCCATAGACGATAGCGCTTTAGTAACATAGATGAGGACTACGATGTTCTGATTATGAGACTGTNATGTCTAGAATATCCCTAGTCGCACTTTATGATAATACGGACGTCATAACGTATCAAGACTAGTACGTACGAGATGAGATAGTTGCGTCTCATAGACTATAGGTATTGTGATATCTTAATCTGTACGTAGGTGCATATTATATTGATAATATGTGACTGGATTGACCCATCTTGAGAATACTGCATGGATCTACAGTAATGTGTTTATCAGTATTCTCAAATCGACCTTGCTATAACTATCCTCAGACTTGAAGTTATTACATTCTCTGATATGTGGGGCCGTATGCTTTGATTCATAACTAATGCTATCTGAAATACTGGTAGACGTACAGTTATGCGTTGGGTATGCCGCTAAGCATATTTAGAGATGTGAATAACAGATACAGGATCTGTCCCTTCTACTGTATAGAAGTATAATGTCAATGGGCCCACTGAATAGTAGGACTTGGGAAAGTGCATGGTCATGCCCAGATATGTCGCTTATTATTATTATTATTATTATTATTATTACTATTATTATTATTATTACTATTATTATTATTATTGTTGTTGTTGTAATTTTAGATTTTTGTTAAGTGAGCATTTTATAAGCTCCTTCGAGGGTTTCTTTTCGGCTCTTTACCTCGATGCCTTTTTTTGAACCGACGGGTTAGAAAACCTAGAATACGTAGAGTTGGGGGTTACGTTCCATCACTAAATTATGGGATGTCACATTGAGTTATGGACATAAATGAAATACACCCTCCTTATTCCCTAACTTCTCTCTTCCTCTTCCTCTCCTGTTCGGTTACCCCCTCTCCTGCTTTCCTTCTCGTTACCAACTCGGTAACAAACACTCTATATGCTTTGCTACGCAATGAATAACCTAAGAAAATTCCTTCATCCGACTTAGCGTCAAATTTTCCCAAGTTATTTTTACCATTTTTATGAATAAACACTTTACATCCAAAGACATGAAAATAAGAAAGGTTAGGATTTATTCCTTTGTAAAGTTCATAGGGTATTTTCTTGAGTATCGGTCTAATGATGACTCGGTTTAAAACGTAGCATGCGGTACTCACTGAATCCTCTCAAAAGTATTTAGGAAGGTTTGCCTCATTGAGCATAGTCCTAGTCATCTCTTCAAGAGATCTATTTTTCCGTTTAACCACGCCATTTTGTTGTGGTGTACAGGGGCTGAGAAATTATGCTCAATGTCTAATCCGTCACATACCACATCAAAGTCATCTTGATCGAATTCTCCCCCATGATCACTTCTAATGGATGCGATGTGACAATCTTTTCCATTTTGAACTAATTTGATGAGTTTCTTAAAAACATTAAGTGCATCATACTAACAAGAAAGTGTGTCGATGTATACCTTGAATAGTCATCAACGATAACAAAGCCAAAATAATTGTCTCCTAAAGTCATAGTTCTTGAAAGCCAAAAAAGGTCTATGTGCAAAAGTTGTAATGGCCTAGTCGTAGAAACTACGTTTTTTGATTTAAATGAAGCTCTTACTTGCTTACCCTTTTGACTTCCAACACAAATTAGATTCTTCTCAAACTTTAGTTTAGGAATGCCAATTACTAGGTCCCTAGAAACCAACTTGTTAAGATGGTCTATGTTAACGTGAGCTATCCGACGATGCCATAGCCACGTTTCTTCCTCTTTAGTAATAAGACACTTAGCTAAAGTAGATGGGGAATTTTCAAGATCAAACAAATAAATGTTATCTACCGTGCCCTACTACCACAAAGAATAATCTTATTGTCACACAAGCGTTCTAAAATGCATTTACTAGAATCAAAGATGTCAGGGGTTAGCTTTTGAGGGGGCACAACATTGAACTATGAGCCGAGGATCTCGGGTAATGTCTTCAGATTTTTATCATGACAATATGAAGTGAAAAATATTATACAGAGAATATCTCAAATAATTCATAAAATTAAATTCTTAATTTATTACAAGTATTATTTATACAAATTTGATATTTTCAAAGTTCTTAATTTAATCAAAACTCTAAATTATAATCAACAGAAAATAAAAAAAATTAACAGAGTATTAAAAAAATATCTCTTAATGCCTATATATACTTCTAAATAAAAATCACTCAAAATTAGAAAAGCAAAATCAAACATCACCAACAAAATATGGAGTATAAGTTTAACTTACGAAGATGAGAGGATAGCATGTGGACTTGAAGTTTGTATAATCATTAAATAAAGGCGGCATTTGGATAATCATTTGAAATAAAAAAAATTTAGACAAAACGACATCGTTTTCATCCAGAAATAAAGCAATTCTAACCGACAACAATAATTGGAGACTTGAAGTCGATAGATGCAGCTCCCTTGCACATGTGACAAAGCTAAGCAGTCACTCGAGGGGCACTTTTTTGGTCAAAAACAACATCTCCGGTCTTCGGACACTTCATCGGAATCCCGCCGAGGGGGCACGTGCCCCGCAGGCCCCTCCTTGCCTCCGCCCTTGCACGGTTACCTCTATCATACTATTGGCTAATGCTAATAAGATTGTGCTTGAGGCCCTCAACGAGAAGAACGTTTTCAACGGTCGTAGCATTGTCCTTTCCAATGGTGCCTCTTCCAACGATCCTTCCCTTGTTGTTGTCACCAAACACAACATTGCCACCTTTGAAATAATTTATGTTCCTAAATTTGGATGCATCTCCGATCATGTGCTTGGAGCATCCGCTATAGAGATATCAAGAGGTACTCGAAGCCTTCAAGCACACCTACAAAAAGATATCAAGGAGCGAGACGATTTAGGTACCCACTTCTTGTTGGGTCCTATCTGGTTAGCGTGTGTTCGGTGTGTGCGCGTTTGTTGGAAATGCCTATGTTTGGTGAAGCACACGAGTGCAATGTGACCTATTTTGTTACAATAATGGCATACAACATTTGGGTTATTCATTCTATAAGGTTGAGTGAAATGTGTTATAGGTTTGCTAGGAGGTGCTCTTCTAAATTGCTAATTAGCCTAAACAAATATGGTTTTTCTAGGTTGGTTTTTCTTATATCCTAGTCCTTCACCATTACTAGATTTTTGCCTAAGTATTTTATCTAACGTGTTAGTGGCATTATTAAATTTTCCCAATATTTTCTCTAAACTAGCACCCTTAGCTTTTAATGTAGTGCAATCAGTACATGTCGTAGAAGAGGAAGATGGTAATGCTTCCGGCCTTTAACCAAAGAAATGATTTCTTGTTTAAGTTGGGCATTCTGCAACAAATTTTGGTCAAGATAGTTCACTACAAGAAAGAGCAATTTTAGCCACAACACTTGAAGTCGTGGAATCAATAAATCAGTACATGATCACCATGAATGGAGGGGATGAGAAGGTCTGCGTGAATGCCGATACTGCGTGCCAGTCTAATATGAATGCTTTTTTAGTTGGCGATCTGCACACCACAGAGTATTTGAACTTGATTAGATCTTCAGAAATTTCAAATCACGAACTAACACTAAAAGTAGGGACTCCGATAATGCTTTTGCGTAACATTGATCATGCTAACGGTCTGTGCAACAGAACACGATTAATTGTTACAAGACTTGATAACTATCTCATGGAAGCAAAAATGATTCATGGAAAAATACAAGACAAACTGTTTTGATCTCGCGAGTTTCATTAACTCTTTCAGATACGAGATTGTCATTTAAGTTTTAAAGAAGACAATTTCCGATTATGATATCATATGCGATGACCATAAACAAAAGTCAGGGACAATCTCTCTCATGTTGGCATGTACTTAATGTGGACAACTGTCAAGGACTTATTTTCAATCACAGACACCTGTATGTTGCAATGTCTAGGGTATGCTCCCGTGCGAGTTTAAAAATAATACTCCGTAATATATAATTCTGAAAATACTCCAACCAACGTTACAACAAATGTAGTTTATAAGAAGGTTTTTTAGAATATTTGATTAATCTTAATGTACACAATTTACTCATTCTCATATTATCTATTGAATGTAGTACGCTCTAAAACTCACTCTTTTATGTTTTGTATGCCTATTTAAAATTAAATGAATAATAAATTTATAAATGGAAGTGTGTGCATATCTAATATTTATAAATTAATATCCGGTAATTTAAAATATAAAATGTTTTTCGCAATTATGATAACTATTTTATTTCCGTGCATCACACGGGTGATGCAATAGTCTTTAAACTTCTTCAATTTATTTATTCCATATTCAATTGGGTGTTATTTAAAATTAAGGAATTGATATAGCTGAAATTGAACCTCGTTTAAGAGTCATTAATATCAATAAACGAGCCAATTCAAGAGCAGCTTTGTAGATTTCCGGCCCTAGAAATAGGTGGATCAAAGTTTAAGAAGTGGCACATAAGAAGATATTCAAAGCTAAATTAGAAGCAGTAAAGCCTCCATCCAAAACAAGATTATGGCCGCTCACATACTTAGACGCATCACTTGCTAGATAAACAACAGCCTCTGCGACATCCTCCGCCATCAAGCCAACACCTTTAAGGTTCGAATGAACCTCGAACCTCTCATCCTCTGCAAAACCCAAATATGCCCTGGACATGTTTGTCGGGACTGCATAAGGGGAAACACAATTCACTCGGATCCCATATCGTCCCAAGTCAATAGCAGTGTTCCTAGTCAGGCCAAGAACAGCGTGTTTTGAGCAGGTATATGCGTGCAGGCCCACCCCGCCGATGATACTGCAGATGCTAGCCATGTTTATTATGCTCCCGCTTCGGGCGGGTCCCATCACACGAGCCGCGTGTTTGGTTCCCAGAAATGCGCCCACAACATTGACACGGAAGACATTGGCGAAATCGGATGCATCACCATCGAGAATGTCTGGTGCATTGGCTGTTCCCATGATTCCGGCATTGTTGACCATTATGTCAAGCTTTCCGTGTGCAGAGACAGCTGTCTGGACGGCATTCTGGACATCTGATTCGTTTGTGACATCGCAGCGAACAAAGTGGGCATTTTCAGGGCCTAAATCTTTGCAGATGGATAGGCTTTGATCAACTCTGGTGTCGGCTATGAGTACTCTGGCACCATTTTGACAGAATAGCTTTGCTGTCATGGATCCAATGCCACCAGCACCACCAGTTATCATCGCTACTTTTCCATCCAACCTATGAACCCAACAAAAAAATACTAAGTGTGGCATATGAAGCTCCACAGTATGGAAATTGAATCAGGAGAACACCAAAAAAATGAAACATAAACCAGAATTATAATGTGGCATTTCACAGTGTCTTCTGAAGGTGACATCAATTCTGCTCCCTACGTTTTTTTTCGATTTTGCATCCGGGGAGGGATGAAAAGTCATATATTGAGTGGGTGGCAATTTCTCCAACTATGAGCAAGAAAAATAATGCATCATAATGAGCAATAAGAAAAAAAGAGTCAGAATTATACATACCTCTTAGCAGCAGTAGAAATAAGCAAAGTCTTTGTCATTAGTATCTTGTAATGGCCAAACACCACTTTAAAACTCACAAAAATTGAATTCCTGCTCACCGCTTTATTGATATCATCTATCTAGTTGCTTGTAGCTTTTAACCTTTGAAAATAGGTACACAAAAGAAAGTAATGTACACACATTTTTTTCTATGGCTGATAATCAGATAAAGCATCAAGGGGCCCTACCATAATAAGACAAATATCCACATGTGCCACACACAACACAGTACATTCATTTCATTCATATATTTAATCTTTTTTTGTCTAACATGTAAATCCAACTCATCAGTTCGAACCATGAAAAAAAAGTGGGTCCTACCACTCAAGATGTGGGACCCATACTCAGAAGGGTTGAGACTTGAGATACACCAAATGCCCAAACAAAGAGCTTTATGGTTACCTACTGGTCAATCTTACAAGAGTCGACATTTTCCTCAAATCTACCAAACCTTGATTAGTGGTGACATTCTAGTCTGGTACTAAAAAGTCATGTCCATTTCAAAGAAGAGAGCCTCTAACCGATTTTACAAGGTGGGATCCTTGTAAAGGAGAAAGAAACAGAATCACTACTAAAAGACTTAATAGAAGGGCATAAACGGACAATCTTTTCAGCCTCGCGCTAACCACCCATGTTAACGATTGCTTGTTATTTGATCTGGAGAACTCCTTGGCATGGGTTTTATTGTTCTTAAGTCGATATGATGCCTCAAAGAATGCTACGCTTTCCCTTCGTAGTCTTAGTCTCCGATTTGCAGTGCCTTGGGATGGAAGCACATGCCGCGATAAAGCTTGAGCAGGTTGCTTTGGGTTTATATTTGGTCCGAGCTTCTTGTTGTTCGCTGACAGAGAATCTAGGGGTCTGTTAAAGGAATCGTCTAGCTTTATTATGTCATCTCTCATTATATCCACAAAACAGTCTTCCTCTTCGTTGCCAGGGTCCTGGAATTCAAGTGTATGAACATATCAGAAACACCAAAAGGCACTTCCAGGCAAAGCCTTTTTTTTCAAATAAAGAAAGCATGACTTTTGAAAATTGGAATGGGGAAAATGATGGGGAATGTAAAGAAAACAAATAAGAAAAGTAAATTTTTTTTAATGTTGGATTTTATCCTAGGAATGCGAACGAAATTGAAAAATGATGAAAGTATTTAACATTTACTTGTATTTAGACTTCTAACTTAGTCTCTATATTTTGGAGTAATAGTAATAGATAAATAGAATGAGATTGAACAAAGACCAAAAATGAATTTATTCAGTTTGAACAAAAAATCCAAAAACAATGTACATAAACAGTTCTGCTAAAAAAAGTAGGGGAACGAAAGTAAAACCTTCAAGTGATTGGAAGAAGGGATGTCAATGGTCTGATCATAATCAAATCCAGAGTCAATTTGCTCAACTAAATGAGAATTGATACTAGTAATACATGGGTTTGAGCAGCTGTCCCCTGTGCATGGTTCTCTCACACTCTCAGCATTTTCTAGTTCAGAATACGCATTATAATTAATATTATCAGCAGTAGATTGATTCCTTGATTTCTTTGGGGCATCATTCGTATGGAATTCCTTGTTCTTTCTGAGCCTGCAGACGACCATAGACTCCTGTGGATTAAAAAAGAAAGACATGCATGATTTCTGCCAAGCTATAATGGTCTAGTAATAAGACCGTAGGACGATTCACTTGACCGCAATGAATAGACATAAAGCTTAGGGGGCAAATATAGATGCATCAAGGATTAGATCTCCCTTCCAACAAGAAACTCAAAGTTGGAATACAAACGTAGAATATGTGATGTGTGTACGAGCAAAATTTACCTGAGGTCCTTTTTCACAACTGCAATACTCATGCATGATCCACTCTGTCCTCTGACCTTCGGGCGCACGACCAGTGTGGAAGACCAGTGTCCTTTTTGTGCCAATCACATTTGAACCCGACTTTACATTTCGGTTTTTCCCAGTGGCCTTCCAATACCCAGATTCAGTAGCCCTCTTACTCTGCGATCCATTTGGGTACTTCCTTCCACGAGGCGAAAAGAAGAACCACTCATTATCTGATTGCACCACAGACTTGGCTGCTTTCAAACAGAAACTAACATACATCATTGAATATCTATACCATATCAAGATCAGCACAGAATCTTAGCACCCATAAAGCTTACAACTTTTTCTGATCTTGCAAATCATTTGACACAATACTAATATTAATTAGTCATACCAAGTGTGGCATCAAATCCATACCACTCCCTCCGTCCCTAAAAGATCTTTGTTCTTTGACATTTCTTGTCAAATTTTACAAACTTTGACTATAAATTGTGAATAAAGTATATTTAGTGATCATATAAATTTAATACGATTGGGTTTATTTTAAGATATAATTTTGATAAATCAAAGTTTCATAACATTAATTTTTTTAAATTATATTTATTAATGGTCAATTTGAGTAGAAAGTTGACCAATAAAGTCAAAGAAGGAAGATCTTTTAGAGAAAAGGAAGTACTAGATTAGCTGATCAAGAAAATGAAAATATTTAAAACCATTCAACCCGTTCGAGAACAATGAACATATATTTTGAAGTCAAATACGAGTAGAAATCCAAAAATTCAATTTAGCCATCATACAGACTTATGAGTCTAATTTGAAGTTATTCCTTTAATCTCGAACAGCTTAATTTTACCCAACTAACTTTTATTGAATGAACTTTCCACAAACAAACTTTTAACAAACAAAAATCAGAAAACACACTTATTAAACCTTAATGAAGTCTTTAACATTTGAATTTTGAAAGCACTTTCAATATCTTAAACCACACAAAACAATACTACGTAATGAAAATCAACTCAAATATGGAATGAAGTATGTAAAGATGAGAGAGAGAGAGAGAGAGAGTAGTAGTAGGACCTGGTAAGTCCCAAGGCTCATGCCTCCAAATCTCAACCTCCGAGATGAGTTCCACGCACTCGTCACTCCCTTCCAATTTCTTCTTCAGGTAATACGAAATCAACTCCTCGTCCGTCGGAGAAAATCTGAAACCGGGAAACATCGACGACGCCGTCGCCAAACAAATTCCCAATTTGCCACTGCTACTATTAATGTTCTCCTGGTCGTTCTTATTGCTCGTTCCCGATTCATCTTCTTCATTTCCCCATGGCTCCGATGCATCACCCTCCTCCGCCATATTCTCCCTCTTCTCCATCCGTCGCATCAAAGTTGTATATAGTGTATTACATCTTCTGTATATATCAATATATGTGTAGATACGTGTGGGTGGGTGTTGAAGATAGACAAAGCCGGCAGCGCTGGGGTTTTGCTGGTGCCATTTTTAGCTTTACTTTTTGGCAACAAAAAGAAGGGGAACCCCACCCAGGCACCCACGAGTCCCCCACAGCCCGGGGTATAGGAGTTAGTGGCGTAGTGCCTCTAGTTCATGAGCTAAAAGGGCAAGCTTCCTATCACATTGGGTTCCAATGTCATGCAATGCAATGATTTGAGTGCGCTTCAGTGCCCCGTTCGTAAAATTGATGGTTTCTACTCTCCCTAACCCTTCGGTAAACCCTCCATCCCACCCTGACCCGAACACGCCCCCTACCCCTGTCAATTGCACCCCACAAGTTGATTTTGACTTTGGAGTCAAATTTTGACTCCAAAGTCAAAATCAACTTCTGGGGTGTAATTGACGGAGGATAGGGGAGTGTGTTCGGGTCGGGGCGGGTGGGGGGTTTACCGGGGGAGTTAGGGGAGTAGGAACCGTCAATTTTACGAACGGGACACCGGAGCACCCCGGGTCATCCCATGACATTGGAACCCAATGTCATGGGAACCCCACCCGAGCTAAAAATCGTACGAGCTTCACACAATTAAACTTTAATGGCTTTATTTATCTATTTTTGTTTATTATTTGAAAAAGTAATAAAGTTTTGTTACCTCTTGTTTAGTAAAATTTTTTATTTAGTTTTAAATATATAAATTTTATTTTTTACATTTACAATCAAATAAATTGAATTGAAAATAAAGTCGGTTAAACCTCATAAACAGGGACAAGAAGAACGTTTTAGGACAGAGGGAGTAAAATACAAGGTATGTCTTTGACTCTTAGTTTGGTCTCATTCGACACGAGCTTAAACGATGCTAGAGTTACAAACAAACAGTTCACAAAAATCACAAACTTGTCTTTTTAACGTTTTCCTAGAAGTAAGACGCACTCAAATCATAGAAGATATTTTAATTTAAAATCCACAAAAGTTAAATTTGTAAAGTTTGTGAACTATTTGTTTGTGACTCTAGCATTTTCCTTTTTAAGAAGATCAAAAGGTAGTTTTTAAAGAATAATTATTTTCTATATTAAACAAGAGGAGCCAAGCCCCATATATATACAAAGAGAGTCCTAACTATGGTAGGAATATGAATAAGGAAACCCTATACAAAAGGTTACTACCATATACAAATACTCCCTCTGTCCCTAAATATTTGCTACACTTGTATTCTCGAGATAAAATATCAAGCTTCTTCAATTCATTTTATTTACATATTGGTATAGAAATAAAAAATAAAATTTGCATATAAAAAAAATACATGAAAAGTTCTTCGAAATAAGAAGTGTCAAGAATAGATTATTTTATCAAATAACCAATGAAAAAGTAGAAATAAACAAAAATTCTCGCGACTGCTGAAAAAGCAAATGTTGCAAATATTTAGGGACGGAGGGAGTATATAAATAAAAATATACTAAATATATTTAACATGCTCCCAACTACGTGATTGGCGAAGGACGAATGCCAAGACTATGCTTAAAATCATATAAGAAAAAGGACGGGATCCCTTTGTTGAAGATGTCGACATACTGGGAGGAAGAAGGGACGTGAAGGGCACGGACTTGCCCAGAGCAACCTTATCTTGAACAAAATGGATGTCAACTTCTACGTGTTTGGTGTGCTGATGCTGAACAGGATTAAATGACAAATACACGACACTGATATTGTCACAGAAGACAAGTGTGGTGCAGCGTAGAGGCTGCTGTAGCTCAAGGAGGAGATTTCGGATCCAACTTGCCTCAGCGATGGAATTTGCAATGGCTCGGTACTCAGCCTCAGCACTCGAGCGGGATGTAGTGGCTTGTCTCTTGGAGGAGCAAGAGATGAGATTATCTCCAAGAAAGACACTACAATAGCTAAAAGTAGATCGGCGAGTATCATGACACCCTGCCCAATCAACATTATAGTAGGCTTTTAGGGAGTCAGTGTGGGTGGGACAAAGAGAAATCCCATGAGTAACAGTACCATGAAGATACTATAGGACACACTTCATGGTAATGAGATGAGTATTATTAGGGGCATGAAGGTAAAGATATAGATGTTGTACGTACGACATATGTAAGATCAGGGTGAGTAAAAGTGAGGTACTACAGTGCACCGACAATGGACCTGTACATCGTGGAATCTGATAGGAGAGTGCTAGAAGAGAATGCTGATAGGCTTGCAATTGAGCATGTCAGCCCGTTCCAAAATCTCGTGAGCAAACAGAGTCCGGTGAAGGAAGATTCCTTCTACCGTGCGCTTGACATTGATCATAAAGAAAAAGTGGAGATCACCCCTATTTGTCATAGAAAATTCCCCTTTAAGTTGTTGAGTGGTGCATTGAAGCAGAGGTGAAGAGGAGGTAGTAAAGACAATGTCATCCACATAGAGTTGCAAATAAGCCATGTCATCCCCACGAGTGTAAACAAAGGGAGATGTGTCACTCTTATAGCCATGGAACCTTATTGTATGAAGAAAGCTAGCAAATCGATGATACTATGATCAGGGAGCTTATTTAAATCCATATAAAGCCTTCTTTAACTTGTAGACATAATGGGGTCGCGTCAAGTCCTGGAAGCCGGATGGTTGACTGGCATAGACCAAGTGTGTCATGAAGAAAAGCATTCTTCACATCCAGCTGGTGAATTGGCCATCCACAGGAAAGAGAAAGGGTAAAAAAACCCAGATAGTTGCTTGTTTGACAACAGGGCTAAAAGTCTCCTCATAGTCAATTCTGAAACACTGATTGAATCCAAGGACCACCTACCGTGCTTTATACTTGGATAGTTCACGTGTAGGGCTAAATTTGTGTTAGAAGAGCCACTTTTCAGAAATAACATTTTGAGTTGGGGAGGGGGTACTGATTCCCATGTATCATTTTTAATCAAAGCATTAAATTCATGACACATATCATCATACCGGTTTTGGTCCTTAAGAGCACTATGATAGGTAGGGGGTAGTGGGGATATTTGGGTCGTGGTGTTGAGATTGAAGATGTGTTTAGGTCGGGATATACCGTCTTTTGAGTGGGTAACCATCGAGTGAGTGTTTTGAGTGGGGGGTCGGCCGTGGGGTGTGGTGTGTGGACGGGGCTTCGGGCTGAGGTACAGTCAAGAGGTTTAAAGGTGTGTCGTGGGTTACTGGTGGAGGGGGTGGGGTTTGGGCCATGGGCTGAGGAGTTGTAACACCCCAACCCGCGTAACCTAAACCAACGGGTTAGCAAACTAGGTTGTTACTAAGTTGATATTTGCATGCATAATTTTTTTAAATTAAACAATTAAATAAATTGTAAAAATTCATCCAAAGAGTTTAAAGCTAAACCAAAGTTCAACGGAGTAATAAAATAAGTCCAAACGTCGCGGAAGCATAAGAAAAACCAAATATTGTCCAAGAGTCTGTTTAATCAAATAAACTAAAATAGTTCAATTATTTAAAGTAAACGGGAGCCATCCACACCACATCACCACTTCACCGCTTGCACATCCAACCTTGTGTTTCTACCTGCATGCAGTCAAACAACAACGACTACATGCTCAGCTTAATGCTGGGTGAAAATATACCTAAGCCACAGAATAGCACCACATTAACATACAATTAAACAACAACATGTGATCACGGAGAAAAATAGCTTAAATAAACATATTTATATTAGCTTATTCCATTTGAACATCATGTCATTATTTTATTTCATATCAACTAGCTTTGAGTCATGACACCTCAAGTGTCATGGCACCTCAAGTGTCATGGCACCTCAAGTGATGGCATAAAAGGGCCAGCTCAAAAACCCAAAGGAGATTCACTCTGGACGGGTTGAAGCCCATATCCCTACGATGCCAAGACAGGTCTCGGACCTCCGTACGTATGTTTTTAACCAAAAACCACCTGGGGTGCGACGATGCCCCGCAATGGCCACTTTCCTAACCATATCATATTGTTGATCCAATTAGTCAATCCAATTTAGGTCTGCTTAACTATACTAGGTGGCTTATTTCTCATATATTATGTATAATTCATAATAATCACCAATAAGATTAATTCAATATAAATCTCGGTTCACAATTCCCAACAAATCACGTAGCGGTCTATCCATGCCGAAGACCCACGATTACCGTCATGCATAATCAAACAACCCAAATTATAATTAACCCCACTTACTTGTGCAGGATCGAGACCAAGGAATCCATCCTCGGGCCCGCTGCCCCCACCGGAGCAGTCCCCATCGTAATCGACAAAAACCGGCACCGCCGCCGGTAGCCGACCTGGCTGCCTAAGCCCAGAGCCCGACCCAACAACTAGGGCTGTGCATTAACATGTCCAGACCAAAATTTAGACCTAAACCGGACCGGAATGGATCAGTCCGGACCGGTCTTCGGTCCTCCAAAATTTAGAATTCCGAGTTCTGGTCTGGTCTAAACCCGAAATTATCCGGTCTGGACCGGTATATAATAAAATATTAATTTTTTAAATAAAAAGTTAATTCATTAGACCATTATCTTTTCAAATTTTTTCTTTTTTTAATTCTCTTAGGCTCCTATCATGATATGTTACTTAATTTCAATTTTTACTTTAAGTATTTTTTTATTTAATTTTTTTCTTTGAAGTTTGAACTTTGGTTTGAGATTTTTTTCATGGATTCTGTAGTGTTATGAACTTATGAATTTAATTGTCCTCCTTAATGAATTGTTATTGTTATGAATTTGGGGATTGATGATATTATATATAGATATATTTACATATATAATTTAGATATGAATTTTTTATAATGAAAATTAGGCCATTTATGTTTAAAATTTGATCCATAATAGGGGAAACCCGGACCGGACCGGAAAATTCAGGTCCGGACCGGTATCTAACAGGTCCGGTCTTCGGTCCTTGCAAATAGAGGATTTCGGTTCCGGTCCAGTTTTGGACCGGTGCACACCCTTGCCAACAGCCTTATTGGGTGATTCACAGCAACCCGAACAGCCCATTAATTAGCCCAAAACAGTCTAATCTGTTAGAATAAAAGACCAACGCTAGGGGGGGTGAATAGCGTTTGATCGTAGAAATTGCAGGAATTAAAAACTTGAAAGAGAAGTAAAGAGAA